GGATGTCATGCTGGGTAAGGTGGAGGGTCAGAGAAAAAGAGGAAGACCCCAACGAGATGGATTAGCCAGGTGGCATCATTGATGGTGTCAAGTGTGGCGGTGATAGTGAGGTTGGTCCAGGATTGGACATTATTTCGTTCTGCTGTGCATGGGGTCGCTATGAGTTGATTCCGACTCGATGACACCTGACAATAACAACAACAATTATATTTGTACTACTTTTATTTTAGATGTGGCATTAAATGTTCACACAAATTGCCCCATTGAAAGGAGTTCCTTAAAAATTCATTTGAAAACACATTTCCTTTCATCAGTAGGAAATATAATATTATTTGTAGATGTCTTGATATGTAGACTTTTCTCTTTCCCTGATGACACAATGGCTACCTGCTCAGCTGTTAATTGAGAGGTTTGCAGCTCAAACCCACCAGCTGCTCCAAGGGAGAAAAGACCTAGAGATCTGCTCCCATAAAGAGGGAATCTATGGGGCAATTCTACTCTGCCACTGGAGGTGGTTTTGAGTCACAATCGACCTGATAGCACACAACAACAGCAAGTGAGTAGAATTTTATAAATCATCTGGCTTAAACAATAATGTTTACATTATGAAGCACTTAGTCTAGAAAGCTGATTAAACTGTGTAAGGTCATGCTGAATTGGTGTCACATGGAACCAGAACCTAAGGCTTTTGAGTCTTTTTCAGTCTTTCTGCTAAAAGTTGCTGCTTGAAACGAATACATGTGATTTTTCCTTAAAACTTGTTTTCCAGGAATCAGTGCTAGCTTGGCACCTCCGTCTCTGGATCCAAGCCTGACTGTGAAGGAAAGGTTGTGGCACCTTCAATCCTGCTTGCAAAAGGATTTGGATAAAGAACATTCTGTTATCATCTATGACTTCATCCAGAGCTATAAAATTCTTCTTCTGTCTTGTGGCATCTCCTTGGGACCAAGTTTTGAAGATCCAAAGGTTCCATATCTTTTAAATTTTTTACATACTTAGAAAAAAATCCCACACAAAAGACATTATTAATGTTGAGAGTCTTACTTGAATGACTTGATGTTTAAATCTTTCCCAGTAGTCACTCCTCTAGCCTGTTATCTTACGCACTAGGAACAGAAAATTAGGCAGAAATAAATGGCACAAATTCTAACCCTTAAAGTTCATGCTTTTCCTCAGAGATTTTTTTATTTCATTTTATTTTTGGTGTATACAAGCAAAACCTCCCACTCCACAATTTCTGGGCAGAGTGATCAGGGACACTGATTGCAGTCTTCCTGTTGTATCTGAATTCTTACTATTTCTGTCCTAGTTGATTCACTTCCATTTACTTAATCTTCCTACTTCCCAACCTTACCATCTCTGCTTTAAAATAGGTGTTAGTGCTTTGAGTTTTATTTAAACTTTTTATTGTGAGTTGAGTGAAGTTTTACAGAGTAGATCATCAGTTTTTACATTCAACAAATCATATACTTTGCTTCATTATATGGTTGCAATCCCTTCCACGCACCAAACAGTTAACAGCTTTACCTCTGTTCACTTTAACCATTGCATTCCTCCCTGTGTCTCCCGCCAAGTCCGTCTTTCCTCTGTCAACCTCCCTCCAGTTGTATATTGCCTGCCCCATCACCCATATCAACATGTGTCTACACTCTAGCACATACATCATTTCCTCCTCCCAATAAAACCATCATAGATTGTTTCTTTTACCCCTTTTTTTATGTACAAAAAGAAAAAAAAAAAATACACAGGAACATATAATAGTTTAAACAACCAAATTGTACATTCTGGAAGCCAGCCTCCTGCCCAGCAGCCCACAGCCTTTTGCTTTACATGAGTCTAGAGTCTTCAGCTGCTCTCTCTCTCCATGCCTTCATCTCTACCTCCATCTTTATGTCGTTGCTTCTCTGGTTAAGGTCCCATGTTCTGCTCATGCTCTTCTCTCTTCTGTTCTTAGAATGCAATATTAACTACTCCCCCCTTTTTGTTACAGAAATTCTACCTTTATAGTTGTGACAATTGCAATTGGTCATGATAACAGTTACTCACTATTGAATCAAATGAATACTATCCCCATCTCCTTTCACCAGATCAGACCCATCTAGACAAGATGATAATTATTCCTTTGCACACTCTGAAACCAAACTCCCTCTTGAAAACTTGTAAGCCAGTCACTTCTTGCCTTTATAGCCCTCCATTTTAGGTAGCCAATGTCTAAGTTGCCAGTCCTTATCAACCCTGTGTACAGAGGGGATAGGTTTGGTCCTTGATATGAGGACTCCTTCCTTCTCAGTTGATATTTTGAGCTCCTACATCCACAAGTATAGGTCTAGTTTCTCAAATTTTAGCAATTTACACTTGTTTCTTTTATCAAAATATTTGTATCTTCCTCTAGTTGAGTTCTGATCATCAAGCCATCAAAGCTAGGTCAAATGGGTACTGTTTACAAGGTAGGGCATTTTTGGGCTGTTCCACATTTTTATAATCCCTTTTTACCAGGACTCATATACTGTGAGCTAGATCAGTGCACTCAGTAGTGGTAGCCAAGTACCATTTAGTTCTACATTCTCAGAGATTCAAATTTTTAAAATTCTGATAAGTTTAAAGTTTCCTGTCCCACAGCTAAATAGATGTGAAAGGAGAATTGTTAGATTTAGGTATATGATAGCAGATATTTCAAATATTTCTGAGAGTGGAGAAATAAGTAAGTGAGTAAATATAAGAGGTTAAAAGAGAGGATAGTTAGGGAGTATTTGGCATAGGGGAAATCATCTTAATAGTTCTGAGAACATTCCTATATAATAGTAGGAAACTATCGTATATACTCTGTTGTCGTGCTGTTGAATTGGTTCCAACTCATAGTTACCCTTTGTAGGTTTTCTGAATAGCAGCCAGTGGTTTTGAGCCACTAACTTTGCAGCTCAAACTGACCTTGCAGTCCAGTGTTTATCTTGTAGTGCCACACCAGAACTCCATATTATACTCTATGTACACTTGATAAGGAGTCCTGGTGGCACAATAGTGAACCATTCAGCTGCTAAATGAAACATTGGAAGTTTGAACCCATTAAATTTGAACCTGGTGATCTGTTCTCATAAAGACTGCAGCCTAGAAAACCCTATGGGGTAGTTCTACTGTGTCATAAAGGGTGGCTATGAGTTGGAATTGACTTGATGACACACAGTAGCAACAACAGTATATATTTAATAGTGTAATACATTTTTGTTGTTGTTAAATGCTGTCAAGTCAGACACAAAGCAACCCTGTATAGCACTGCTGAGGAGTGGTTGATGAGTTTGAATCACCAACCTGCAGTTCAAACCTACCTTGCAGTCCAGTGCTTATTCTACAGCACTTATCTTCTTGAAGAGGTGACCATGTCCCTTTTTTTTTCCTTCTTGATACTACATACAGAGACATGCAGTAATAATTTAGAGATGAGAAATGTTACTAGTTGGTAGTTGTTATCAGTTTAGTCAATAGTAAAGACTAAGTTTTAGTTTCTTTAGCTTTTTTTTTCCTCAAAGATTTTCAAAGATAAATCAGGTAAATTTCATATAATTTTTAAACTGGTATTTCCTAAATTTAAAAGGTTGTCACTTAATTTTTGATGTTCTGGTGTCTAAAACAAGGCTCTGAGTAATATGAACCTTCATTCAAACTACAGTAACAACCTAACAAAAGAAAAGAGGAAGAAGACACAAATAACAAGCATTAGAAGCCACATGGACAACGTCACAATGGAACCAAAGGAAATCAAAAGGATAGTAACAGAATACTCTGAAGACTTATACTCCAAAAAATTTGAAAACTTAGAAGAGATGGATACATTTTTAGATAAACACGACCTACCTAAACTTACACATAGTGAAGCAGAAAACCTGAACAGACCCATAACAAAAGAAGAAATTGATCAGGTCATCAAAAGACTCCCAACCAAAAAAAGTCCAGGCCCAGATGGCTTCACTGGTGAGTTCTACCAAACATTCAGGGAAGAGCTATCTCCAATTCTACTCAAATTATTCTAAAAGATAGAGGAGGATGGAAAACTTCCTAATATGTTTTATGAAGCAAGCATAACGCTCATACCAAAACCAGGGAAGGACATCACTAAGAAAGAAAATTATAGACCAATATCCCTCATGAATATAGATGCAAAAATTCTCAACAAAATCCTAGCCAACAGAATCCAGCAACACATCAAAAAGATAATACATCATGATCAAGTGGGATTAGAAAAATGAACGTTATTTACCATATAAATAAGAAAAAAGAACTACATGATCATATCAATTGATGCAGAAAAGGCATTTGATAAAATCCAACATCCATTCCTGATACAAACACTCAACAAAGTAGGATTTGAAGGGAAATTCCTCAACATAATTAAGAGCATATATAAAAAACCAACAGCCTACATTACTCTCAATGGAGAGAAACTGAAAGACTTCCCTCTGTGAACAGGAAACAGACAAGGATGCCCTTTGTCACCACTCCTATTTAATATTGTTCTGGAAGTCTTAGCCAGAGCTATACGGCAAGACAGGGAAATTAAAGGCATCCAGATTGGCAAAGAGGAAGTAAAACTCTCCCTATTTGCAGATGATATGATCCTATATGTAGAAAACCTCAAAGACTCAGTAAAAAAGCTACTAGACCTCATTGGAAGATTCAGCAAAGTGGCAGGATATAAGATCAATATACAAAAATCAGCTGGATTCCTCTATACCAAAAATGACAGCGTTGAAAAGGACATTAGGAAAGCAATACCATTTACAATAGCCACCCAAAGGATGAACTATCCAGGAATAAATGTAACCAGAGAAACAAAGGACTTATACAAAGAAAACTACAAAACACTACTAAAGAAACCAAAAGAGACTTACAAAAATGGAAGAATGTACCATGCTCCTGGATAGGAAGACTTAACATTGTGAAAATGTCAATACTGCCCAAAGCAATTTACACATATAATGCAATCCCAATCCAGATTCCAACAACATTCTTCAAAGAGATGGGAAAAAAAACAATTAACAAACTTTATATGGAAAGGAAAGAGACCCAGGATAAGCAAAGCACTGCTTAAGAAGAAGAATAAGGTTGGAAACCTCTCACTCCACGACTTCAGAATTTACTACACGGCTACAGTGGTCAAAGCAGCTGGTACTGGTACAATAAAAGATACATAGATCAATGGAACAGAATTGAGAATCCAGAAATTAACCCATCTACATACAGCCAACTGATTTTTGACTAAACACCGAAATGTATCGCATGGGGAGGTGATCCTCAACAGATGGTGCTGGCAGAACTGGAAAGCGCAATATGCAAAAGATTGAACCAAGGCCTTCACCTCACACCTTATACAGAAACTAACTCAACATGGATTAAAGACCTAAATGTGAACCCTAGAATTATGAAGGCCATCAATGAAAAAATAGGAACAAATGTGAGGGCACTAATTCAGGGAATACACAAGCTACCAAACATTTTGAAAACTACACAAACAAAAGTAGACAAAATAGATGAGTGGGACATACTAAAAATTGAAAACTTATATGTATCAAAAGACTTCACCAGAGGAGTAAAAAGGGAACCCACAGAATGGGAAAAAATCTTTTACAATGACACATCAGACAAGGGACTTATTTCTACAATATATGAGAAATTACAACACCTCTACAAGAAAAAGACAAATAACCCAATTAAAAAATGGGCACAGGACATGAATAGACACTTGACCAAGGAGGAGATCCAGGCAGCCAACAAACATATAAATAAATGTTCACCATCACTAGCCATTAGAGAGATGCAAATCAAAACAACAATGAGATATCATCTCACACCAGCATTAACAACAAAGATCAAAAAAGTAGACGACAATAAATGCTGGTGGGGATGTGGAGAGACTGGGACACTCCTGCATTGCTGGTGGTGCTGCAAAATGGTCCAGCCTCTCTGGAAAGCAATATGGTACTTCCTCAGAAGATTGGAAATAGAAATACCTTATGATCCAGCAATTCCTCTACTTGGTATTTACCCACAAGAAATATGAGCTATAACACAAGTAGATATATGCACACTAATGTTCATAGCAGCGCTATTTACAATAGCAAAAAGATGGAGACAGCCAAAGTGCCCATCAACTGAAGAATGGATAAATAAACTGTGGTACATACAATGGAATATTATGCTTCCTTGAAGAGAAACAAGGAAGCTGAAAGTCACCGCATGACATGTATGAACCTTGAGGACATTATGTTGAGTGAAATTAGTCAGTCACAAAAGGAGAAATACTGCATAGGACCACTACTGCAAAAGACTAAGAAAAAGAACCCATACTAAAGGGGGTGGGGGTATTCTTTGCTGGTTGCTGGGATGTGGGAGATGGGCTGAGGGGAGGGAGGAGAAGGTGGAGCACAGGGTAGGGAATAGACACAGGATATTTTGGGTGCTGGGGACGGGTCAATATACAAGAAGGGGGGTGGAAATGGAAGAACAAAACAGATGGGAGAACAATTAGGCAGGTTTGCATGGGCTAAGTGGGACAGAGGTATATAATGATATATGCACAATCTTGGAACAACAGGGCTTTGGGATACAGGGACTGAGACATGGTTGGAATGGGTAAATGGGGGGAAATAATGTTAAGATGCTTGGCTGTCTTTTGAATCTTGGTTTCTCTGGCATACCATTATAAAATAGACACTGGAGGGGGAGAGAAAGGAATAGCCAGAGATACCACCATAGAAAGCTTGTAAGTCAGTCTTCTAACTGATTGGAATACCTAAAATGGGGTTACAATGTGCCCAGTGACGGAGGCTTCCTGCAGAGCCTCTGCGTTACCTGAACAGCATCCAGAATCTTCTGAGGTGGGAAATTTCCACTTGGAAGGACGGGCAGACCAGCCTGGAGTGGCTAGAAGAACAGAAGATACTTCTTAAAAGAAAGACTGACAGGAAAAATATAAAGCAATATAGGCAGACCGACTGATTACTACAAGAACAAGTAAGTTGCTCACCCAGGAGACATCAATTCAAGTAGTCGGGTCTTCTCAGAGCAAACCCCCTTCCAAGACTAAGACTCAATGGGAATACATGCTCTGATTGGTGACTATGTTCATCACTGATAAGGGGAAGTGAGGGAAAAACAGCAATGAAGCTGCGAGTTAAGCCCTACAATGTTCAATAGACTCTTGTGAACCCGGGTGGAGACCTGGTTGGCCAGCAGTGTGGCAAGAACTGGGGACTCTTGGGCCCAGAGTCAGTGACATAGCCAATAGCCACAGAGCACTAGAGTGGAGAGTGAAGTGTCCAGCTGATAAGAAGAGAGGAGATATGCACAAGAACACCCACACTTGCAGATAATACCCACTTTACCAGGCTTCAATGACTGGATGATCAGAGCTCAACTAGAAGAACAAAGAAGAGGAAAAAAAGAGTAATCTGATACAGTTTGAATAACATGACCATCTCTGGATGCAGTAGCTCAAAAGAGGGAACAAATCTTTACAGCCCCTCCATACACAGAGTAGACAGGAATGGGCAACTTGGACATTGGCTACCCAAAGTGGGGGGTTACAAAGGTAAGAAGTGACTGTCTTATAAGCTTTCAAGAGGGAACCTAGATCCAGAGGGCATGGAGGAAGGTAGAATCTCCACTGAGTAGGTGGGCCTGATGAAAGGAAATGTGGATAGGTCTCTTGTGAGGGACATTGGGCAGGTTTGCAGGGCCTTTGGTTGGTTGATGATGCATGGAGGGGATTGTAATCATGGCAATGAAATGATATACAATAGGATGAATGTAAAACTAATGTTTTCCCATGTAAACTATCACATAATTCACAATAAAGCATTAAAAAAAATAACACAAAACTACAGTAACATCTCAGATTTATGTGCCACCTTAGTCTAAAACGACTTGAAATATTTCATACGTGGCTTTGTTAATCATGACATTTTGTACATAAGGTGACAAATTATTAATTTGTTAAATTTCACCTTTACAAGAGATATTTGCTAACTTTGAAATCAGACTATCTTACTCAATACCCCATTTTTAAAACTTCATTCTTAACTTACAAAACAAATAACTGAATAGTAATTGTCAGAATTATGAAGAAGGTTTACATTTCATTATTCTAAATTCAGTTCATTATCTCCTAGAAAATAGTATTAAAGCTGCCCTTCTTCTAGTGTCACCGGAAGCTAAAAATAGCAATCTGATGACCAGTCAGATGGTCCGGTGAAGAAGTTCACAATACTCTGGATCTGAGCTTTTTGTGGTAAAACACTTTGCCTCACCAATTCTGATGTTGAGAACTACTCAAACTGTAAACTCTATAGGCTCTACTTTATTACAGTGGTTTAGCTAACACCAGCCTTCAAGGAGAAAAGTTCATGTGCAATTTCAGATACATGGTTTCAGCTAGCTGGGAGGCACTTGGGTCAGCAGCAGAAGCATTGCAATAATGGAAGAGTTATAACGTAACTATCTTTGAAGCCACTGCTCTAATCAGAACAAAAAGAATTAGTCCTATTATAATTATCCTTTCTGTTGCTGAAAGTTAGAAAATTTCTAGTGTTAAGTGAAAATAGAGTAAGAGTAGAAAAATGAGCTCCCACCTCCCATTTAATTTAAGAATATTGTAATCCAATACAGGTGGCATGCTGGTTATTAGATCCAGATTCCAAGGAGCCGACTCTTCACAGCATAGTTACCAGTTTTCTTCCTCAAGCGCTTCCTCTCCTGGAAGGAATGGAGACTGGAGAAGGAATTCAGAGCCTTGGCCTGAATGTCAACACTGAACATTCGGGGCGATACCGAGCATCTATAGAGTCCATTCTCATCTTCAACTCTATGAATCAACTCAAAGCTTTGTTGCAGAAGGAAAAACTTCAAGGTAAAAATTAAGATATGTGGCCTTTTTAAAACTATGCTATAAACTGGGGATGGTTATATATTTAACCACTATTTGTCAGAAAATGGTAAATTATACATTCTATTCAGACCCTGGTGTCCTGGTGTAGCACTATACGATAAGCACTGGACCACAAGGTCAGTTTGAACCATAGGGTTCGCAGTTCAAACTTACCAGCTGTTCCTCAGAAATCTTATGCAGGGTCACAATAGTCTGAACCCACTCAATGGCACTTAACAACAACAACAGCAACATGCAGACCCTGGAGTCCTGGTTGGCCTCTGTAGAATAAACACTGGACTGCTAATCACAAGGTTGGCAGTTCAAACCCTCCAGCCATTCCTTGGAAACCCTATACAGGATTGTTATGAGTGGGAACCAACTCGACAGCATGTAACAACAGCATGAGACACTACATTTGGATTGTCTAGTGCAGGGGTAGACAAACTTTTTTCTGTAAAGGGCTAGATCGTAAATATTTTTGACTTTCCAGATGAGATCCAATACCATTGTCACTCCAAAGCAGCCATAGACAATACAAAAATGAATGGGCATGGCTATCTTCAGAATTACATGCTGTATTCCATGTGTGAGGAGACTGTTCTAGTTCTTAAAAGATAGGTATTTCATCTCTGAAACAGAGATTGTGGGTTGCCACCGCTTTAAGATTGTCATTCCAAGTCAGGGTTGGGTAAGTAGGTTTCCTACTGCTTAGATAATTGATTCAGCCTGTGCTTCGTTTCTGTAACCCTTGTATTGGTTTCTAGAGTTCTGACAAAATTGGTTCTGACAATTTCTGCTTTTTTTCTCCTTTTGGGGTTTTTGTGGGGTGGTGTAGGAGCAGGGTTGTGCAGTTGTTTGTATTATCATCTAACTCTGGACTCTAATGAAATCCTGTATATTATTATGAGTCTAATGATTCCATTTGTGCAATATCTGTTGTTGTTCTGTGGAGTGTCACTCATACTTCATACTTGTGGCTTTTCATACTCTTTGTGCCTTCATATGAACTTATTCTATGGAGCCCTGCAGGCCTAATTTGGGGGAAGTCTTCAAGAAAATTTTTGCTCCTGTCTGCTGGTTACTGCATGCAAGGACCATGCTAACCTTTCTTGAAGTTTTGACTGTGAACAGAAGTCCGAAGCAGCCTTTCCTCCTACTGCTATTTCAAGGATCTTTTCCCCTTCAATCTCTTTGCTGTAGAACTTATTTTCATGACTGGCTCCCTGCCACTCTGCAGTGCTCTGACTGCTCAGACTCCTGTCCTGCCCTAGTTGTTTATACGTCATGGGTCCCACATCTCATGTATTTCTCCCCTGGCTCCAGACCTCCAAAATCAGGTTCCTATCTGTCCAGTACCAGCTACTAGTTGTTGAATGAGGATAGCTGTCATTTGCTTGTTTGGTTTTGGTTGCCTTTATATGGATTCCTGGAGCTCTCTTCTGCTATTTGAGACCAGGAATGCTTTAAAGAATGTGTGCTGGGGTTTGGGGAGAGCAGGTTAGTATTGCTCAGAGTCCTCATGACCCGTTGTCCTTGAAGCTGAAGTTGTTAGAGTGTTTTTAATAATTGATTTAGGACAGCATTTGCTATTGTACATCCTATCTACACTTACTTTCCAGGATGTTAATATATGTTATATTAAACAAAGGGTTTTATAGTATTGCTGCATTGGAACTGGTCTAAATTCTTAAGAATCAGGTCAGCACAAAGCTGGTTCCTGTGAGGTGGAAATTAGACATACCTCCTCTCCAACTTTTTCACCATTTCAGACACTATGCATTACACACCATGGCATGGTAATTCTCTGCTGGCTTCAATAATTTGTTGCATTGACCACATAGAACTAGCAGACCATACTCACAGTTATGTGGTTAATTAAGTAAATAACAGACTATAACATGGGATCACGCTCAACTTAGAAGTAACAGGATACAACTCAAGAGATTGACTCATCTTCATTAATCAGGACAGCTTTCAACCAGGAGAGCTCTCAGCTCCCTCTCAGACGTGCTAGCTCACAATCCTTCTCAGCCCACAGGCAGACCTTTCTTTTGGCTGAGCATAAACCTTTCTTTACCTTTGGCCTCTCTGTGGCTAAGTAGCCCAACTCAGCCAGTGTAGCAGCCTGCCTGGTTATTGTTGTTGTCAAGTGCCTGTGAGTCACTTGCAAGTCACAACCTTTTATAGGATTTCCAAGGAGCAACTGGTGGTTCACAGTCCAGTGCTGATCCTACAGAGCCCCTCCTAGCAGTAGTTTTCTTCCTCCACCCTGCTACAGCCCCTCCAGTCCTCTGCCCTACTTAGGCAAGAGTTACAGCTCTTCAGCGGGCAAGCCTCCTACCCAGACATACCTGTTACAGACCGTCCAGACCCGGTCAGGAGTTCGAGGCCCTGTGGGCCGAAGTGTTGCAGACCGTACAGGCCGCTGGCTCTGAGGAACAAACTCTAGTCACTTAGCAGACATAGCAAATTGTCTTTCATCTTATTGTTCAGTTATGTTTATTATTAATTGCATACATGAAGCTCTGATATCCACAGATAAATGTAATATTTTCCTAAAAGCCGAGACTGTAAAATTCCAAAAAGGCAAAGACTTCCCTCAGATAATTCAGTCAAAGTAAATTGGGTGGCTCCCCGGTCTTTGTTCTAAGGTCAAAAGGACACCCTCCCTAAAGTGTTTCCAGGTGCAGCCCTATTCACCCAGGAGTCTCTTTTCCTGAAGAACCTGGGCTGGGCAGCCTACACAATGGGTCTCCTCCCAATCCTCCTTCTCCTTTCCCCATTTGAGGCTAGGTGTTAAAAGGTATGTTAATTAAGCTTGAGAAACCAAGTTGTGGTCCTGGGATTCGAACCTGAGAATTACGATGTAAAGTTGCCTGAATGTCTGGAAAATTACGTATGTAGCTGTACCTTGTCTTAGTCCCTCCCAGCTTGGTGTAAAGCTCCTCCCCTAAATAAAACGGGGGTGCAGACCGACCCAGGTGTGCATTACAGCTTGGAGAGCGTGCTATACGGCTGACTAGGCATGCATTGCTGACCATCTAGTAAGGGGTGCGTACTGCCCACATAGCTAAGATGTTTACTATGTGGGATCTTACTGCCCTTATAGCTCAGATATTTACAACGCCAGATCTGCCGGACGCCAGTAATGCATCCACTCTGGTTTTGGGGTGTCTCTTTGTCTCTCTCGTTGTATCTCTGTGTCTCCTCTTTTGCTATCCCTATCGCCACCAGATATCCCCACCTCGTGAACCAAACATCTGTGTCGAGGCCGGTCCTCGACACATACCCACTGGAACTCTCTCTCGGTGTTCTGAAAAGCCCACTTTGCCATCTCACACCATCTCCAGCGTTCCAGCTCTTGACTTGTATTACAGCTCTTTTGTTGTTGTTGTTAAGTGCCTTTGAGTCGGAGCTGACCCATAGCGACCCTGTACAGGGTTTCCGAGGGTGTAAATCCTTACGGGAGTAGAAAGCCTCATCTTTCTCCTGCTGAGCGGCTGGTAGTTTCGAACCACTGACCTTAAGGTTCGCAGCCCGATTCGTAACCACTACGCTACCAGAGCTCCTTTTAGAGGTACCCTTTTCCTCTGGGGCATTCACTGCTTATATAAGCCAACTCTTTGTCAATTTCAAGGCATGGCTTATCCAGCAGGATCACAAACTGACCAATCCCCACAAGTCACTCATTCCTATTGGGTGCTTTTTTGCATCACTATTCACGTAGTAAATCTACCAATTCCTATAGGGTGTGTAAAATAGACCAATCACAGGGCAGACTGCTGCCCAAGCTGTCATTTTCGGCAGAATTATAAACACAAAGCCAGAAAAGATCAAATATAAAGAGAAAGTCATTTCACTACATATCATTCTTTGGTCGATTTTGGCCATGGTTTCTTATATATACTTAACGTTTAGAGACTTACTTCCCCTTCCTTCTACATTCTACCATCCAAACCAGTCATTAACAGTTTGTCCTTCAGTAGGGTAAATTTTTCTTAGAGTGAGGTCACACAGGTACCAGGCACTCAGGCCTGATGCAGGCGTCCATCTGATTTGGCTAAATTCTTCGAAAAGCTGTCTCAACTTCACCCTTTCTGCTTTCTGATAAAATGTAACTTAGAGAATATTATTCTTTTGCTCTGAGCCTCTTGAGGTATCAGTATAACAAACCTTTAAGGGACATTAGATTTGTCCACTGTACTTTAATGTGCTTCATGCCTCCCATTAGTCCAAATAACTAAAATAAATTTGGGATTTCCATCTGAAACAAAATTATGAAGTCTTTTTTTGCTTCAGGTTTTCTGAAAACCTTTCATGTAGTAATAGGCAATATAAATATCCTAGAGGGGCATATAGAATGCAGAAACACATAGCCTGTGTAGTGGCTTTCAACTCCACTCTGCTTATAGGGTTGTTCTGTGATGAATATTCCTTTGAACTTGCTGGTAAAATTTAAATTGAATGTGTACTCCACTTGGAAATATCAACAGATAGAAAAATACTCTCTTGTTTCAGGAATATTGTCATTTACTATTTGAGAAGAGTATTGAAAATTACGAAACCTCTATATTTAGTTCTGGAGTCCTAGTGTGGTGCTGTGGGCTAATGCGCTAGACAACAAAGTCGATTTGAACCACAGGGTCGGTGGTTCAAGCTCACCAGTCACTCCACAGAAACCCTATACAGGGTCGCTATGTGTCGGGACCGACTCAGTAACACTAACATATTTTGTTCTTGGTGCAACAAAGTACCCTTGACATGGGAATCTTGGAAATGATTTCAGAGAACTAGCCCTTTAGAAGCCCTGATGGCTCTATAGAATAAGCACTGGACTGCTAACCTGAAGGTTGAGAGTTCAAACCTACCAGTTGCTCTGCAGGAGAAAGATGAGGTTGTCAGCACCCGTACAGATATACAGTCTTAGAAACCCTAGATAGGATCTGTATGAGTCAGAATCGAGTTGATGGCAGTGGTTTCAGCTCAGCAAACAAGGTTGGCAACTTTGCATATACTAAAAGTAGAAGCAAAACATTATCTTGTGATAAATGTGTTTTACTTTTAAACTAAACTGTTCACAAGATTATCAACTCTTTCACTCTCTGCGTAGTCAAGAATAGTAGTTTAGTGCTAAGGTGACCTATACTTTTCTCATTTCATTGTTGTTTTGGGGATACTGCTTAGGAGACAATATCCTGATGATTGGGTAGCAACTCTGGATTTTTCTAGACAAATGCTATTTCTGTGTAAGTAATACTGCTGATCTAGTCAACCCTATATAGGGTTGCTATGAGTCAGAACTGACTCAACAGCACACAACAACAACAACAACAAAGTTACTTAGTTTTCTTTTTATTTCCTTTCAGATGTTTTCTGTAAAGTGGAGATGCCCTCACAGTACTGTCTGGCCTTGCTAGAACTAAATGGAATTGGCTTCAGTACTGCAGAATGTGAAAGTCAGAAGCACATAATGCAAGCCAAACTGGATGCCATTGAGACTCAGGCCCATCAGCTAGCTGGCCACAGTTTCTCCTTCACCAGTTCAGATGACATCGCTGAGGTTGTATCATGGGATTAGGATATTTAAAAAAGTAATTTTTGAGTTAAAAGTAACATGTGTGTGTGTATTGCAAGGTCAGCAGTTCAAACTATATATACTTTATACATATACAGTTCAAAATATATACTTTATACATATACATATTGTTAAGCTGGAACCAACTCGATGGCACTTAACAACAACAACTTATGCTAAAATACTATTCCTTGTTTATCTGAAAGGTACATATTGTTGTTGTTGTTGCTTAAATTAGAGTATGAGCAGTTTACCTGGCTTATAAATTCTCACTGCTATTATTTATTAAAGGAGCTCTGGTAGCATAGTGGTTATGAGTGGGGCTGCTAACCTCAAGGTCAGCAGTTTGAAACTACCAGCATTTCCACAAGAGAAAAAGGAGGCTTTCTGCTCCCATAAAGATTTACAGCCTTGGAAATCCTATACGGAATTGCTATGAGTCAGAACCAACTACCACCACTATTGTTTTTTAAATGTGATGATTTCAAATTGTTCAAAAGAAAATTTTTTCTAACCCATATTGGAGTCCTGGTGTGGCACTGTGGGTTAATGTGCTAGACTGCAAAGCCGGTTTGATCTCAAGGGTGGTGGTTCAAGCTCACCAGCCACTCCTAGGAAACCAACTTGAAGGCACTTAAAAGCAACAACATTGAACTGAAGAGACTGCATTCTCAAATAACTTTAAAAATACTTTGTTAATGATGGTGGTGGTTATGTTTTTGTTGTTAAGTTGGAATCGACTCAATGGCACTTAATATATACTTTATTATAAAATATATACTTTATACATATACATATTGTTGTTAAGTTGGAACCATGGCACTTAACATGGAGTCTGTTCCAACTCATGGCGACCCTGCATGGGGTTTCCGATACTATAAATCTTTATGGGAGCAGAAAGCCTCATCTTTCTCCCATGGAACTGCTGGTAGATTCAAACTGCTGACTATGAAATTAGCAGCCCGATTCGTAACCACTACGCTACTAGAGCTCCTTGTGGATAGTTGTTGTTGTTATGTGCCGTGGAGTTGGTTCCGACTCATAGCCAACCCTGAACAGGGTTTCTGAGGCTGTAAATCTTTACGGGAGCAGAAAGCCTCATCTTTCTCCCGCAGAGCAGCTGGTAGTTTTGAACTGCTGACCTTGTGGTTAGAAGCCCAATTTGTAACCACTACGCTACCAGAGCTCCTTTTTCTTAATGATAGTGCCTTTGATTTGATTTTTAACTAAAGAAGCATTGCTTCTTTACAGGTTTTATTTTTGGAACTGAAGTTACCACCAAATGGAGAGCTGAAGCACCAAGGCAACAAGAAAACTTTGGGCTCCACTAGACGAGGACATGACAATGGGCGAAACCGAAGGCTGGGAAAACAGTTCAGCACTAGTAAGGTGCTGTCCCAGGGGGTTGCACAACCTCAGCTGCTCTCAGTATTCTCATGATGGTCAAGAATGACGATGAAATCAAGAACCAGTGTAGCCAATCTCTCACCATTTGAATTTTTCCAAATTAAAAAATTAAAACAAACTGAATTTTGGTTCAGTAGGCCACATAACCTGTGGAGACCTTCCAATTCAGAAACTTTGGATCATACTCTGAGTTAGGAATTGGGCCCTTCATATCATAATAATAGTATAAAAGTTTGTGACCTCACACCTGTAGACATTTTTTCCCAGTCACTTCACTTAAACTGCCAGTACAATATAGTTTGTAAGAATTATAAATGGAAATAAAAACAATAGCCAATAGAAATAAAACTTTTTTCCCCCAGTTCCAGGACAAACTAGTAAGCTTTTCATGGCTTTGTTTTAAGAATCTGATCTGTTGATTCCAAAGAAAGATGGATAATCAGAATTGATGAGCGGTGTATGCAGTAATGGGAAGGAAGAGAGGAAGAACTTACTGCCACAGGTTAACTGACTGAAGCATCACCATTACATCCTTTACCAGGCTTGATATTAGAATGGAGAAGAATCAGTAATGCTGTTACCAAAGTGGTCTTTCCCCTGCTGCCATGAAGGCTTGTGTTAGTCTGTAGAATTTTGACTCTAGCACCGTAAGCTGTGACTTTGGGAGCGTCTAAATCTCTGTACTCTAGAACATACATTTATTTGATCTCACTGAAGCTTTTATCTCACAAATTTATATTCCTTAGCGGCTTATAGAGTCTTTAGAGAATGGAAAAATCAAAGTGTTTAAAAATATATCTGATTTCCTTGGTGTGGAAACTATGAAAGTATCAGGGCAAGAAGGGACTGAAAAAAAAAGAAAAGAAAAGAATAAAACCACAACGGAAAACTGGGAAACTTCCAATCAGGTAAGGAGTTATTGTGTTGTGAAGTGCCGTCGAGTCGGTTCCGACCCATAGCGACCCTGTATAGGGTTTCCAAGGAGCGGCTGGTGAGCTTGAACCACTGACCTCGCAGTTCAAACGGCTTTGCAGTCTGGCGCATTAACCCACAGCGCCGCACCAGGACTCCAGTAAGGAGTAGAGGAAGAAAATGCCTAGGGAAAGAATAGACATGGTGTGGGCCCTTGGATGAGGAGCGGGGAGACAATAACTTGCTAATAAGCTAACATTTTACTGATCTCTAAATCTACATTTTTAAAAGGTAGTTCTACATTGCTTCTAATTTCCAGAAGTAGCAGTTTATGACAAACGATAGTTGTCATACGTTGTTTTATTATTATAGTGGTTCCCAACAAAATCCAAACAGTGGCTGTGAGATGTAGGTGCAGGATTTATCAAATTTTATGTTGTTTATCTAAAATAGATTTTAGTTTGCTATGGAATGTGGGCTTGAATCTAAACTTACCTTATATTTCTTTGGCAGGATGTTTTAAATAAGTTAAAGGCATTACATCCTTTACCAGGCTTGATATTAGAATGGAGAAGAATCAGTAATGCTATTACCAAAGTGGTCTTTCCCCTGCAGAGGGAAAAACGTCTGAATTCTTTTCTTGGAATGGAAAGAATCTATCCAGTATCACAGTCGCACACAGCTACAGGTGATGATAAATATGAATAATGTCCAATTTGGAAAAAAAAAATTTTCATATTTGCTTATGATGACCAAGGAATTCAAGTGTTCATACTTGGGATCAATAGTACTCCATAAACATTTATCATACATATATTACATGCAAGAAATAAATACCACATAGATTTAGAGATGAACTTTAGTAGGATACAATTCCTTCTTTCAATTACTGCAAAGAATAACTGGAATAGCTCAGAGTGATTTGGATGAGACGATATACAGCAATTAAATATTTACTTGAGTTAGTAATCTTATCTAATTTAGGTTCCAACCCTTTCCTGAGACTTTGAAGATTCTCCCCAGATCATCTAAGTGGACTCTATAGTTTAGGAATAGTTTAACTTATCAAATTCTTATCTTAGGGTTGTTTTCTAGAGAGCTCAGTTAATGTCAAACATGGTTTTATAGCAGCTTCACATGTTTATTTATAATGTGATTCGTCCTATCCTTATTTTTATCATCTTTAGATAGATGGGCATGATAAAAAGACTTCATTTAAATACCAATTTTTGTTTTTAGTTTAGCAAGTTTACATAGAGGAGTATATCATTGGGTGTCAGAAATAGTTAAGCGCTCCACTACTAGCTAGAAGGTTGGCAGTACAAACCACGCCCACCCCCACCCCCACCAACCCCCCCACCAGAAAGATCTTGGAAGACAGACCTGGGGATCTGATTCTGGAAGGTCACAGCCTTGAAAACCTATGGAGCACAATTCTGCTCTGCACACTTGGAGTTGCCATGAGTTGAAATGGACTCAGTGGCAACTAATAATAACAAGCAATGGTAAATCGACTAGGTGTTTAAAAGAGAATTCAGAAATGCAATTACTATTCAAATAAGTGGCTGACTTTTTGTTTTCTAATTTTAATGTGGTTTTCATTCTGCTTGATTTTAGGACGAATAACCTTCACAGACCCAAACATTCAGAATGTACCAAAAGATTTTGAGATCAAAATGCCAACGCTAGTAGGGGAAAGCCCACCTTCCCAAGCCGTAGCTAAAGGCCTACTTCGTATGGGCAGGTAGACTCTACTTCTCTCTATGTATTTTAATAGACATTTGCCAGTATGAATGGCTCAAAAGTAACCTAATAAGTTTAGCTAAATTTTCTCTTCCAGGCACTACACATTTCAAGTTCTGAATTTCTATTAAAAAACTAGTAGTTGATAATGAAAAGCTGAACACTTTAGCCACTAATTATATAAATCAGTAGTATATGCATATTTAAGTAATATTTTAAAGGGGAGAGCTGCTCCATTCTCATACACAACAGGAAGAAAAAACAGACAGATGATTTGTAGTTGATGTGGCTAAAGAGATTTGTTGAGTGACATTCAATGTCAGTGAATTCTCAGAACTAGTTGGCAGGAAAGGCTATTACAGAAATATCTTACTGAATGTTTACTAAAAATATTTGCTTTAAAGTAGCTCTTATATAATAATAAGGTTATTTCTAAGGTTCTTAGGTGGAAATATTGACTTTATTGAAAATCAGGCCGTTTAAACTACATTAGAGTCTGTTTCAAGTCCAGCTGATGATGTTGTTTGCACCACAGAGGAAGAAATAAAAGGGGCTGTACCCTGAACTCTGGGCACCAGGCACAGATGGAGGAGAGAGCCTCGGACAGAGGAATGCCATTTTCTGTCAGTATGCGGCATGCCTTTGTGCCTTTTCCAGGTACGGTGGGGATGGGTTATGATAAGGCCTGGATTATGAGTAAGACTCAGAAGTCTGCACTGGTCCTTATCTGCTCAGTATAAAACTTCTGCAGTGTATGCCCATCAGCAGCAGTCTGCTGAAATCAGGTGTTCTGAGGTCAGTGTAAATCTTGCAAAATCCAGTAACAGTGGCTTAGTCCTTGTCCACTGACTGTTCCGTAGCCTCTTTCATTCTTTCCTCTGTTCTCTTCCCTTGACCGTTTAGAAGGCAATGAGCCTGTTTTTCTTATCTGTATATCTTTTTCAGACTCTGCTTTTATCTCATACATTTCTTCCGCCTTTTCCCCCAGTGACGCTTCCTTGTTTCCTGGGTGAGCCCCAAACTGCTTTCATTCTGCCTAATAGCACCTCTCAGTAGTATCGTAAGCCTTTTTTTGTCGTCAACATATTTTGAAGTCATCACCTAACTTCGAAATTATCTCTACTCTAATATTTGCTTGCTAATCTTTTGCCAGCTGTCAGGTCCGGGTGAGTGCAATTAACCATCTGCATTGATTTCAATTCTGTGAGAGACATATTTTGCAAGGGTGAATTCAGGCTTATAATAACAGAATCTGTTGGACGGTTTTCAATTGGGCTTTGTAAGAAGGAACTGTCAGCAAACACAATTCAATCAGAATTTGGATACCAAAGGAGTCTTTAGAAGGCCTGTGCAGTATATGGATAATTTACTAACAAAGGTTTACAAACCTGGGTTTCTCCTTTTATATGTAAGGAACAGAACATGCCTGGATTTAAAGCAGTGCTGTTCAAAAGAAATATAGTGTGAGGCGCATTTATCATTTAAATTTTTCTAGTAGCCACATTGTAAAGATTTCCCCAGTTTGAATATTTGAAAGGGTTTATCAGATTCCCAGAACATACTCATGTAAGGCTTTTTAACAGAAATAATGTGGTATGGCAAAAGAAAGTGCAGGCAAGCATTCTGGGTCTCAGACATTCCATGCACATGCTCAGAGGTGCCTTTATTCACACAGAGGGACAATACTTTCTCTGGCCTGAGGAAGCAAGCTAAGCTTAAGAAGAGCTCAAAGCAGCAGTCCCCAGCAGGACTTTTATGCCACTCTGGCCATGTAATTGAGCCAGGCTGACTTAATTGGTTAGGCTTGTTTCAGACCATTAGTGAAGAAACTGAATCTGGGGATCAGCAGGGGGCTTTCAGGTCTTAAACAACCCTCATAAATCCCATAGCTCTCTTTTAGTCACACGTCAAAATTAGACGTCTGAAAGTCTGTAAAGATGGAGATAAGAGTTTTTCCAGTCCAGGGTCAAATCAGCTCTGTCTCCCACACACATTAAAATAGGAGAAGAACATTTCAATTAATTGTAATACTTGTTGTTAAGTGCAGTCGAGTCAGTTCCAGCTCATAGAGATCCTGTATAGGGATTACTGAGGAGTGGCTGTGGGTTTGAACCACTGATCTTGTGGTTAGCAGTCCATAGATATCCTACAGCCCCATACCAGTATAGCGTCATATATGAGTTTCTTATATATCCTGGCAGTATTTCTTTATGCAGGTGTAAGCAAATGTGAATGTGTACTCTTTTCTTCCCCATTGTATACACCGTTGAGCACCTTGCTTTCTTAGTGTGTTTATCCTTGGAGACTTAACGTCTTTCAGAAGTGAAATATGAATACAAGCCAGTTCAACCCATATTTAGGTAATCTTTAGGTTTGTGTACTGAATCATAGAACAAAAGTTGTAAAATTTTGATTCCCAAACTCAAAACTACCACACCCACTGCTATAGTGTTGATTCCAACTCATAGAGACCCTATAGGGTTTCGGAGACTAAATCTTTATGGGAACAGGCAGCCTCATATTTCTCCCACTGAGCAGTTAGTGGGATTGAACCATTGCCCTTGAGGTTAGCAACTGGATGTCTAGCCCATAATGCCACCTAGAGATTTCCAAGTTGCCATTTAGCAGAGTTAATCGTTTCACATTTCCATTAACAACATTTGAGAGTGTTTTTCTGCAGATGTGTTGAACAGTGTGTTGTCCCACTTCTGGATTTTTGTAATATAAGTGGGAAGACCCAGTTTCCTGCCATAGTTTTGATTTTCATTTATCTTATTATGAATAAAGTTGAACACTCCTTGATAGGTTTTAAGATTCTTTTGTTTTCATGTTGCTGTGAATGGCTAGTTTATATTTTCCTTTATTATTCTTGATTTGTAGCAACTCTTTCTTAAATATGGCATGAGTCTTTTGTGATGTCAGTTGCAAATATTTTTAAAACTTTTTATTGTGAATTGAGTGAAGGTTTATAGAGAAGATTATCAGTGTTACGTTCAACAGATCATATACTTTGCTTCACTACATGGTTGCAATCCCCTCCATGCACTAACAGTTGACAGCATTTACGTCTACTCACTTTAACTATTGCATTCCTCCGTGTCTCTGCTACCTTCATCTTTCCTGTGTTAACCTTGCTCTTTTTGTATATCGCCTGCCTTGTCACCATGTTAACATGTCTGTCTTCTAGTCCATGAATAATCCCCCACCCCAACCATCACCTATTAAACCTTTTATCAAGAAAACCTTTTTTTAAAACTGTTTATAACATTGGTCTCGCACAGTGTTCGTCTCATTGTGATTGACTTAATGTCCTTTAGGTTCAACCGTGTTGTGAGGTGTTTCACGGATTCATCATTACTCTTCAGTACCAAAGATTTTTTAACCATCCTTCTGCTGATGAGCTTTTAGGCTGTGTCTACCATTTTGATATGTCTAGTATAGACAGCATATTCAAAGATCCTCATTTCTTATCCATTCTGTTCTTTACATCTCTTGAGTGGTACTTTGACTCATTTACATTCAGTGTAATTATCAATAAGTGTGAAGGAAGAAGTCCAAGATACATTGAAGACAGTGACAAAGAACAAGGTTCCAGGAATTGATGGAATATAAATTGGAATATTTCAACAAATTGATACAGCACTGGAGGTGCTCAGTCAGCTATGCCAAGAAATTTGGAAGACAACTACCTGGCTCACTGATAGGAAGAGATCCATATTAGTGCCCATTTCAAAGAGAGGTGACCCAACAGAATGTGGAAATCATCGAACAATATCATCAATATCGTATGCAAGTAAAATTTTGCTAAAGATAATTTAAAAACAGCTGCAACCATACATTGACAAAGAACTGCTGGAGGTTCAAGCCAGATTCAGATGAGGATGTGGAATGAGAGATATCATTGCTGATGTCAGATGGATCTTGGCTGAAAGCAGAGAATATCAGAAGGATGTTTACCTGTGCTTTATTGACTACGCAAAGACTTTTGATTTTGTGGATCATGACAATCTATGGACAAAATTGCAGAGAATGAGTGTTCTGGAACACTTAATTGTTCTCATGAGGAACCTGTACATAGACCGAGAGACAGTTGTTCAAACAGAACAGGAGAACACTGAATTGTTTAAAATCAGGGAAGGTGTATGCCAGAGCTGTATTTTTTCGCTATAATTATTCAATCTGTATGCTGAGCAAATAACCCGAGAAGCTGAATTATATGAAGAAGAACTTGACATCAGGATTGGAGAAAGATTCCTTAGCAACCCACAATATGCAGATAATACAAGCTTGCTTGCTCCAAGTGAAGAGGACTTAAAATACTTACTGGAGATCAAAGACCGCAGACTTCGGTTTGCATTGCATCTCAATGTAAAGAAAACAAAAATCCTCATTACTGGACCAATAAATAACATCATAGTAAATGGAGAAGATAGCAGTTGTCAAGGACTTCCTTCTTCTTGGATCAGTCATCAACACTCATGGAAGAGCAGTCAAGGAATCAAAGACATACTGCATGAGGCAAATCTGTGGCACAAGCCCTCTTTAAAGTACTCAAGAGCAAAGATGTCAGTTTGAGGACTCAGGTGTGCCTGACCCAAGCCATGGTATTTTCAGTAACCTCATATGCATGCGAAAGTTGGACAGTGAATACAGAAGACCTTAGAAAAATTGATGCATTGGGTTATGGCGATGGAGGAAAATATTAAAAGTACCACAGACTGCCAGAACAACAAACCAATCTGTGTTGGATGAAGTACAACCAGAGTGCTCCTTGGAAACCAGGATGGCCAGACTTTGTCACTCATATAAACAGATATACTATCAGGAGGGACCAGTCCCTAGAGAAGGACATCATTCTTGGTAAAGTGAAAGGTCAGAGAAAAAGAGGGAGACCCCCAATATGATTAATTGATGTAGTGGCTGCAGCAATGAGCTCAAGCATAGCAGTAATTGTGAGGTTGGCGCAGGATTGGGCAGTGTTTTGCTTTGTTGTGCTTAGGGTTGCTATGAGTTGTTATTGACTCCATGGCACCTAACAATAACAATAACAAAAATTGAATTGATTGTTGTCACATTTCTGTGTGTTTTTTGGTGGTACTGCGGGATTCTTTGTTCCACATAATTTTTTATGCTGAGTTTTATTTTGTTTGTGGATTTTCTTTTCATTTTCATTTCTGTTGTGCTAATGTTTACAAAATCTTTCTGATTTTCCTCTTTTTAAAATTTTAATGTACAGGTGTATTATTTTTCTTTAAGGCTACCCTATAATTTCTTCATTTTTTTCTTGATATCTCTGGTTTCCTATTTTCAATCTTGTAGGCTTGTTTTACTTAAAACAATTCTATATCTGGATTGCACACCCTTTAGCATTTTTTTGTAAGGTTGGTCTGATCAGTACAAATTCCTTTAATTTCTGTTTCTCAGGAAATGTCCTAATTTTACCATCATATTTGAGGTACTACTATGCTGGGCATATGATTCTTGGTTGGCATTTGTTTCTTTCATAGTTTTGTATATGTCATCCTATTGCCTTCTTGCCTGCATGGTTTCTGCTGACAAGTCAGAGCTCAATCTTATTGGTTCTCCTTTGTAGTAACTTTTTGTTTTTCCCAAGCAACTCTCAGGATTCTTTCCTTATCTTTGATTTTGCAAAGTTTGATAATGATTCATGTTGGTGATATTCTTGAGATCTATTCTGTTTGATGGTTGTTCAACTTCTTGTATGCTTACCTTCTCGTTGGTCATGATGTTAGGAAAGTTTTCTTCCAACAACTCATAGACATTTTCTGTGTTCTTGTCTCTTCCAGATCACTTGTAAGTTGTTCCTCTTCATGGTGTCCTACATAACTCTTAGGCTTTTTTTGGATTTTTTCATTCTTTTTCTGATTGTTCTTATATCGTACTAGTATTGGGAAATTTCACATTAAGCTCACTAGTTTGGGCTTCCATTGTTTCACATGTACACTTTTGCCCATTCAATTTATTGTCCATTTCTGAGATCTTACTATTAATCTTCTGGATTTCTAATGATAGCTTTTATATTGTTTCAAAACTTGCATTTATTTTGTCAGTTTGTTCTTGTAGTGTTTATTGTGTTAACCTTGATCCTTTGAAGGTACCTAAATATCATTCTTTTGAAGTTTTTTTCAGTTAGTTCCATTATCTGTTCTTCTTCAGAAACTTTTTCTGGCTCTGCATCTTTGTCATTTTTTGAGCCATTTTCTCTTGTTTCTTTTCTTCATGTGATATATAATTGTATGTTGTCTCTGGGGCATTGTGGGGTTGTCATATTTGTAAAAACAAACAGTACATTTATTGGACTCAGAGGGGAAAAACTCTCTGGTGGACTTCTGCAATTCTTGGAACTCACAAGGCAGTTGTGGAATACATGTGACAGCAGAGTTCCTGGCCTTAAATGAAGTTCCTGTTGGCCTCGGTGTTATCTATTTTAAGGGCACTCAATTTGGAATTAGTTCTTGGGGGCCCTTGATGGAGCTGGTTTCAGTGTCTGTTAGGACCACAGGGCA